ACACACACACACACACACACACACTCCTCTGCTAGGTCCTTAGCCCAGCTTCATTTGTCATCATGAGAATGTGTCTAAAATTTTTCAAACATGTATTTATTTGAGGAGCACATATGCCACAGCATGCACGTGGAGGTCAGAGGACAGCCCACGAGAATTGATTCTCTCCTCCCACCATGTGGGTCCCTGGGATGGAACTCAGGTCATCAGGTTTAGTTGCAAGCTCCTTACCCACTGAGCCAACTAACTGCTATCAAATGTGTCTTATCTGGGGGTTTGCATGGGGCAGGGAGCTGAGCTTATCTGTGGCTCTTTCTCTCTTGGAGCAAGACATAGGTCATATGTACACACCTGCCAGACAGAGCCACACAGCACAATGGCTCTTCATATGGATCCTGGAGCCAAATTTCCTGAGAGCCTTGGTTCATCTCACCAATATGTGACTTTCCCAAGTCACCTCTTCTCTATGTTCTCTCCTCTCTTCTACCAAGGGGATGGAAAGCACCTGTCTCATGGGGTTGCTGTGAGGGTGCAAGAGCCCGTGGGAGTCAGGCCAATGTTTTGGACTTCTTGTGGGTGTCTGCTTTGCCCATGACCTGCGTCTTTGTCCATCACTTCCCTATCCTCTCCCAGTCCCTGCTAAGAGTCCCACAACAGTAACCTGGTGACAGCAGCCAAAGGGGCCTATGGTGACAGCCCACAGCAGTATTCTGCTTCCTTTCCAGGCTCACATCGTGACCCAGATACTGCAGATTGTAGACCATTTACAGACTACCCTCCTGCTGGGGACATTGCCAGGGAGCCTTCCAGGCATCCTGGTCACCCCCTCCATCTCTGTGTACACAGACAGGTACTAAGCAACACTGTGCATGTCCAAGAAAGTTGATGCCCTAACCCACGTCCTAAGCTACCCAAGGCAGGGCTCAGAGGCCAGGCTTAGGACTGGAGAAATACTGGGATCTCAGCCTGGTGTGTGAGTGGAATGGAGTCTTTCCATCATGGGAGGCATTTGTTTGGGGCAGAAAGGGAACTCTGGAGGGCTGAGCCCGGTGTTAGAGTCACCTGAGTAAGTCTTGAGAAAGTCCTAGCAGAAGTATGCAGGTAAGGGGGTGAATGAATGGAACCACCTCCTCACACATGTCATCCTCACATTGTCCTGGGTGGTCTTGGCTATCCCATTGTTTATAGAGAGCCTGTGGGTCCCAAACATGCTTGTCTATGACACTCCCAGGAAGGTTTGCCTCAGTGATCACTGACCAGGGCTTTGGGATACTTCCTGTTGTGTGTGTTTTTCAGGGGAGTTACTTTGATGTATTTACATATTTATTTGTTGAGATGGGATCTCGCTGTGTAGCCTTGGCTGAACTGGAACTAGATATGTAGACCAGGCTGATCTCAGAATTACAGTAATCACTCTGCCCCTGCCAGTGCTGGATTTCTAGGCATGTGAGCTACCATGCCAAGCCTGGGGCATCTATTTTAATGAATATAGAGACCGAACAAAGAAATAATTCCATCTAAGTTAGCTTGGTACTTATTGGGGTTAGTTACAGGACTGTAGGCAACTTATGGGTGGGTTCACCATTGAAGAAAAGAACCCCACTTCCCAGCAATTATTACCTGCTTATATATTCTTGGGGAGGGATGGGGGTCTTATATGTCTCCTGGGCCTCACAAGCCTTGTGACCTTTCTTGTCCTTCCACAGTGCAATGTTAATGGGCCCAGTCTTGGAGCCATTAACTGATCACAGCTACTATGATATACAAGATGGTGAAGATCATGTCCAACCCAGAGGAAACAGACACACACATCACTACTACTCCCTGGCCATTAGGCAGGAGAGGACTCCCTCACTATGCCCCAGTCCTCCACTCCTCAGACTAGGATTGCTCTCTTGGGTCCCAGTGACAGATTCCATAAGTAGTATTGAGCTCTGAAAACAGGTCCCCGGTCTTATCAAAGGGGACAAGGTCAGAAAAGATGGGGCTGGAAGCTCATGGCTTCAAAGGTCAAGGGAGATGGGGGGAGAAACTTGGAGAAATGATTCACCAGCCACTCGTTAAGTACTATGGCTATTCTAGGGATTGAGAGTCAGTTCTAAGCAACTCCGCTTGTTCATGGACCTCCAGTCCACACGGAGGCACCAGCAGCTTTTGATGCTGTTTCTGTTTGAAACACAAACTACAGCCATCTGGACAGTAAAGTGGAGCCCCACCCCCTCCTCCCAGTGTACAATGGGGTTCTTCCTCAAACACCAACTTTCTTTTCTTCCTATTCTCACCCTGTGGTCAGAATACAGCCATGGAGTTGGCAAGGCTCTTCAGTGCACACCACCAGCGCTGACTCTGTGACCTTCACCCTGCCTGCCACCACCTCCCTCTTCCCTTTGGAGGACAGCCAGGAGCCTATGGACATAAGGGTAACACAGCAATGCCTCCTCTGAGATGACCTTTATGTATGCAAAGTGCTGGCCTTTGTATTTGCTCACTGATGATGCTAGCAGCCCCACCCACTACAGAGGAGGTTCAGTATCTCATCAAAACCACAGCCAGGATGTGGGACTCAGACCCCACAGCTCTGGACACCCAAATCCATTTATTTTCAGTGGGTTACAAGCTTCTCCCAGCAGCCTTAGCTCTGTGAGTTGTTGTGAAGCAAGCCCTCCATGCTCCCATCTGTAACCCATAAAAAGACTAGGGTCCTTTTCATCCCAGATTAAGGCACATCTGATTCCCCTGAATGCTAGTGTAAACAGACAAACATCTTTCTTCTTAGACACTTCTTACTACTCCTGGTAGCCATGGGGTTGTTTTTAGGATGCTTGTGAACATGAGTTTCAAATCTGTGGCTGCTCAGTCCCTTATATAAAGTGGTATGGTAGTTATACAAAATCTATGCACAGGGCTGGAGGGAAAGCTCAGCTGTTAAAGGCTAGGCTCACAACCAAAAATATACAAAATCTATGCACAACTTCATACCTGTATATATACATACATATACATACACATATACACACATATAAACATATACATACACATATAGACATATATATATGTATAGACAGACATATATACACATACATACACATATACATGATACATATATATACCCATATAAGACATACATACACATGTACACAAGCATACACACATACATACACACATGCATATAGATAACACATATATACATGCACACATGTATGCATGTGTATGATACACACACATACTATAT